TCTTCCCACTGGGGGAGAAAGCAGTAGACCGAGAATGCAATAATCAACTCTAGGCGGAGAAAGCAATAGTCAACTCTCTCTTGGGAGTGCTTGCGCTCAAACCACCAGTACTTCCCATCATAGACTCTTTCTTGGGAGGGTGTGTGCACTTAAAACAAGCCATTTGGCCCATTTGTGAAAAGTAGACATTTCGTGAAAACTGGACTGAGTCAATTTCAGTCAAAAACTACGAGATTCATTTTAAAAAAACTATATTTTTTTCATTTCTGGAAGCCATGTTCCATTTGCAATCACCGAGTTTTTTTAGAACACTAGTATTTTGGAAATCATAACAAAATGGAGTCAAGAAGATAAACAGCAAAACTAATTTAGGGAATACCTTAAGCCTAACGGTTTGTTTGATAGAAGAAAAAATATTCTTCGGGGGGTTGTTGCACAAGTAGATAAACAAAATCAAGCTTAGGGCATTTTACAAGTATCGCCTTCAATCCCCCACCTTGCCCCGCCTTGTGACGCCCAACGCGACTTCCTGATCGGACTGGGATGTGGGCCTGGAAGTGCGAAAACGGGTGTGCCAAGGATTTTTGGGAGAGTGGGGGTGGAGTCTCAGGTTGGAACTGAGGTCTCCTGTGGCAAAGTTTCAGGGGCATAGATGCAACAGAGCGAAGGGGCATAGGTGCAATAGAGCGAAGGGGCATAGATGCAATAGAGCGAAGGGGCATAGATGCAATAGAGCAAAGGGGGTGCGTTACTTCCGGTCTGATGGCGTTCGATGTCGTGCAGCATAAGGCAGATGGCATGCCCGGTACATTCAAGGCTGTCCGATTCGTGTGTTTTGAGGGCAGCGGTTCGGGGAGAGGCCCGCCCGGGATAGTTGTGTTCCCAATGAGTCGGACCTTTAGGTGCAGACACGTGGCGTCTGTCGTCGCGCGTTTGGGTTAGGCCCTCTAGTTTCAGGGGCTCGTCGGTTGCCGCGTCGCCGACAATTTCCGCAAGGCGTGAGGGGCCAGTACAGGGCGATGGAATTCCACAGAACCACCGTGAGTTGGTGATACGGGAGGACGAGACGGATGGGAGGGAAGTTGGTAGAGATGACGACGAAGCCGAGGAATATGAAGTATTGCGTGTTGTCCGATTTTGCGCTGTTTCGTGTTCAAATGTCATTAAAAAAAAAACTTAAAACCAGTACATATTCGAGGTCGACAATGCAGTTGAAAAAACGAGCCCATTTTCAAAGAGGACAGGCGGCCCCTTGTCATGGCTGGCGAAAAGGTCTCCAATATATGGAGATTTGGGTGGATGTAGAAACGGCCAGCCAGTAGTGTACAGTGAATGCAGTTTTTTTTTGCAAACAGGAGAGTTTTTTTCCGAAACCAAATCTAAGGACTCAAAAATTTAGCAAAAACTTAGTTAGCCGAACAGATGGGTCGGTAGTCCTCGTTTTTCTGCACTTAAATAGAAGCATGAGAACGAAGGTAGTAAATTCACGGGATCTGGAGCAAAGCAAAAAACATGCAACGCGAACTGATTTCAAATCTCCAAAAGTCAAGTGCAAACGATTGAGCAAATTCGACCGGCATGAAAATTCAACGAAATCTAAACATGACCTTATAGGCCTATAACGTGAATTTCCGGATTTTAACAAAAACATCGAATTTCACTATAATTTGAATTGACCCTTGGAATTCTCTTGAAATTCGAAAGCAATACTTTTCGAATTATAGGCCTATAACGAGCGACTGACGTCTGAATTTGAGTCGGTAATCTGTCAAGTGTTAATAGCCCTATGAACGCATGATACAACATTTAAAAATCGAAAATCGAAAGCTGAGGAATTTATAGCCCTATAAGTTAAAAACTAGAACTTCGTTCGAAAATGTGAAACAATTGCTTTGTCAATCGATAGTTGGGCTTAGGGCACAAAAAAACGTTTCAAAAATGATCACTGTTTTCGCCTAAACGCAAGAAACCCGAAAGTCCAGAAAATTTTGGTAGGTAATCTATCAAGCGTTTGAAGCCCTGAAAACGCATACGACATCATTGAAAATCTGTTACCAAAGCTCAATGAACTTAAAGCTCTAAAACTTTCATCGAGTAGTTGAAACTCGAACAGCAAATTTTTAGTCAATTTCTAAATTCTCAAAATCGAAAACTAAAAGTACGCGAAATGCAATGAAAAAGATTGTCAAAACAAGAAAGGTTGGCCACACATGCCTGGCTAAACGGGTCAAGCGAACTACGACCTGCTGATGTACAAAACTTTACACATGTTTAAAAACCCCTGACGACTAAACTTAGACAATCTGGCGAACAACGACAAAATGAAACCTGCTCTGATGCGGAACCAGAAATGACCTCAATCGCGATGTCCATCTGACAACCTCCTGAATAAACGGTTCTTGGAAGGTTTTCCTAGTCAACATCCTCCGTTGCCATTGAGTTCAACATCTCGGATATCTTTTGTCGGGTCTGCGAAAACAAGGTTTTGTCTGTCTTCAGTTGGAAGTTGTAACAAAGAACGTAGACGCGGGGAAGGCGGGATCGGGATCGTAGATGTCCTCGGTAGGCTCTTTCGTAGTTTTTCCTTGAGGATTTGTCTTGAATTGAGGATAGTAACCCTCTCCTTTCTTACTTTGTGCAAACTAAGCGACTTTGAATCGTTTATCTGCTAGCAGCTCGACAACCTTGCCAATGTGGTAAGGTTTGTCTCTCTCTTCCTGCCCGGACAAGCTCGTAGTGCGATGAAAGTGTTGACCTCGAGATTGTCGTACTTTCCGTCTCTGTCCTCTCGGAACTGTCTGTTCTTGCGAGCACCGATGTAGATGGGTCTCTCCGGAGGGAAAAGATCATCCCAGCGTTGATCGAAGCCGACATCGGTAACCGTTGAAGAAACTTCTTCACCTGGTTTGTTGACATCAACTTCGATAGAGGGCCACGTGAAAGGCTCTTTGAGACTTTTGTCCTCAAGGTCGAGTGTTTCCTGCGTTGCTATGAACTTATTCCACCATTCAATGTTATGGGGTTGAGCATAATTCGACAAACCTTGAACATTGRCTTTCAAGGCTGCGATGGAAAGTACATMATCGTTAACCTTGAATTTCGAAGACCSTCCCGTTTTTCGATTACGAACATGACCTTCGCTGCTGCCGACCTTGTCACGCCTCTTGTCCTCACCCCGACAAGTAAGCTGAAATCTGGCTTCCAAAGATCGGATTGCATGCTTTGGCAAAGCTTAAACTTGTCCTGTTGGCTATGACTTGAAGATGTCCAGACTTTCTCTGTCATTCGGCTGCCACTGCGAATTGTGATATTGCTTGCTCCAAATGCGCACCTCTCCRTCGTCGTTGCGCTTGATTCGGAAAGGTTGATTGAAACTAATATCATTGATATTTTGTAGATGATCCTGAATGTACAACTTCCAATCCATTGTTTCCGTCATCTTCTCAACGTAAACGCCATGATCTTGTTCTACCTTGTATGACTCCCTAATGATGTGTTGCAACTCAGAAAGATCGAAAGCATCATGTACARCCAACTYTCTCGWGAAACAGCTGAACATCTGATCAATGTCCTCGTGTGTGTGACCCACAAGAAGGAAGTTTAACTTAACTTTACTAAACACTCTCATCTTTACTAATAAAACAAGATACGCTAACACAAATWTRTTCTTGTTCTCTTTCGAAGTGTTATCAAGTGTGAGATACAAAATTTTWGGAAATGGTCTAGSAAGTTGCGAAATCCGGCGATGAAGAACAATTAGCATGCAATTAGAATCGGATTTGAAGTTGTCAAASAACACAGCTGCAAAGACKGACGATGGAAATCCTAACACCTTGGCACCGRCCACGTGAACTTTCACAAAGTTCCCTTCTTTCAGTTTTGAATCYTTTTGAATCCTTGTGAAGTGTGGCAGTATGGTCTTGCTCTGATCCATACCATCGATGATCATTGTGACGTACTCTGTCGGTCGGCTGGAAGCCTTGTGGCGATGCTTACTGAGTTTTKGTCTCTCTTCTCCTTGCATTAATCAGTGCTTCTCTAGTGCCTTGCCGAATATTTCAGCCAAAAAAACAAAACAARCGAATACTCTGTCAAGACTCSTTCATAAAGAGAGACCAAACCCGAATAAACACCTGAAAATCCAAACCGATTACTACACAACATGTTAAAGGGCTATAACTCATAATAAAATCCAAGCCGATTACCACACAACGTGTTATAGGGCTATAACTTAGAATAAAAACCATGCCGATTACCACACAACGTGTTAAAAGGCTTTAACTCAGAAAAGTCAGTAGACAAGTGTCGTACATTAATAAATTCGTTCTTCCACAAAATATTTGTCTTAATTAACTCAAAGAGTACGGGCAGGACAACGAAGATGTCACTAATAAAGTTCTAGTCTTTTAGAGATAGTCGGCTGCAAGGACGTAACCAAGAACAGTCAGTCGCTTCAAAACGGAAAATCATAGAATTTGTTCCTTAAAAAAATTTCTAGTGTCATGATAATTCTTTCTCGAATGCGCTAATTGAAGCATCTACTTTTGTATAAATAGACAACTTACAGGGGTGTAAGTCATAACAATCAGTCGCGTTGTGCCAAACGTTGAAGAATGAACACTTAGGTGCTTTCATGAGAAACGTCATTAACCATATCTTCTACAACTAACTGTTTACGACGGAACACAAATTCATCGTAAATAAACACAAATGTTAAAAAGGTTGGAGAGAGAGAGAGAGAGAGAGAGAGAGAGAGAGAGAGAGAGAAGAAGAAAAAGAAGAAGAATATAAAGACTTAGGGAGAGAAGAAGAAGAGTTTCATGAGAATCCTTTCTTGAATGCGTGAATCCCAGTTTCTACTTTGTTGTAAAGAACAACTTATAGGGCTATAAGTCGGCACAGTCATTCGAGCTGTGTCACAAATTGAAGAACGAGTCAAAACAGACAGTCGCGTTATGCCGAACTTTAAAAAATTAACCTTATCATGCTTTAATGAGATACATCGTTTACCACATTATCTTTAACTTATTATTTGAGGCGAAATACAAATGATTATTTTGTAAATACAAATGGTAAAAAGTAAAGTAAAGAGAGAGAGAGAGAGAGAGAGAGAGAGAGAGAGAGAGAGAGAGAGAAGTAGAATGCTTAAAGAAAGAAGACGAAGAAATAGGAAGACAAGGAGAGAGAAAATAAGCATTGAGCTTCTGTCATCACCTCGTTCGAACGCATTGGTTGCCTGTGAACGGCCTGTCTTGAATTTCAAACATGTGGAACAAACCGAGAACCTCTTCAATGCAGGAATGAGAACTTTGGGCCAGTGAACCCTCCAAATAGTCATAAATCAGGAACGGGAAGGAAGAGTCTTCTTCATGTAAAGCGCTTTGCAGTCTCGCTTGAAGAAATCATACACGTGTCTGTGTCGGAGAGTATCTGAAAGATGAAACTGGTCGCTATTCGGCATACTCTAAGTGTTAAATCGAAAATATTCATGCAACCAGGCCAGAATTTGTTGTGATGAACCAGATAATCTGATTGAGTCTTTGTTTGCATGCTCGTACAACACTAGTCCGTCTCTGAAGTCTTTGCGTAGTCTTGCAACATGTGTAGTCGAGCATCCATACAACTTTCCCCACGCTTTTGTGCAAACCTTTATGYCRTTGAATGTCAYTCTTAACACCTCTACATCTCCATCATCCGARAAATAYGACGCAACCCTCATCTCTGCGARAAGGAAGTTGAMTTGCTCAGGTTGTTTCATCGCCCAAATTTCTTCTCGCTTGTAGAAAACATCTTCTACCGTGAACTTCAAGTAACATTTGGCCTTGCAACAATCTTCCTTGAGAATTACTTCAACATTCTTCATGTTCACGTGGTAGTTCGCTTTCTTGTTGTACACACGTACGTTTCTGCCGCGCTTTCCCAAGTTGTAAGGAGATTTCTCGCTCTTGCTTGATTTGCTGTACAATCCTTTTCTCACCTCCTGTGCCACTATCTGCTTCGCTTCTCCTAAAAGTTTTCCAGATAGACTCTTCCTRAACATGTTGACATCAACTTCTGACGCGTCTTTTACTTCATTGTCCTCAGAGTCTGTGTCTTCTGATTCCTCATCCTCGCTCAATTCCTCCTCCTCGTCATCGTCGTTTGATTCCTCCTTCTCGTCATCGTCGTCGTTTGATTCCTCCTCGTTATCGTCGTCACTCGATTCCTCCTCCTCATTGTCGTTATTACGTAATTCTTGCGCAATACTGTTGTCGCGTATTTCTTTCACAACAAAGTTCTCGCTCGAGTTCTGTACATTGTCCATCTCTCTGGATTGTTCGCCTTCACCGTTTGGGCACTGACGCTTCCTTAGGCGCTCTATCTGGATTGTACTCCCAGTTTTGCTTGTTGCGCAGACACCTTTCACCATGTTTGTCGCTCGCTCAGGCGCAATAACCGTTCTTGTTGTCGTCTTCGATCGTGGGCGCTTCGGAAACAAACAAACGTTGGTGGTCTTCTCACCATTTGCACTTAGCTTCGGTGGTGGAGGGTTCTGGTTGTCGTCTCCGCTTGTAGAATATTGACGCTGGTCCGGAAACCACTAGTCTTTGTCTTGACACTCTTGGCATCAACACTCTTCTTGCATTGAGAAAGGTTTGAAAACCTCACATGTTTAATCTTGCAACTACTCTGACCTTGGGTTGTGGTCATATTTACAACAAGACGAGTATGTATTTCAGTGAAAGAATCCATGGCAGGAAGATACGACACAACAACCTATCCGACGTCTAGAAGTGACGAGGGCGTCGCCTATAAAAGAGAAGACTCGGTGTCGGGGCGAGAAAGTAGAAAACAAATATAAAAGACTTTAAACAACGACACGACTGTCAATCACGGGCTCACTTAAAAGCTTCCAATCTCAGAGGACAACCACAAGAGCGTCGCTAACGGGCGTGAACTTCTTGGACACGAAATTGAAATAAAATGAAAACATCCCCTAGTGGAAACCGCGTCAAGAAAATCGTCCGCAATTTGGAGTTTCTCGCCTACGCATTTTGGAGAAATATAATTTTTAAGCCGTTAGCGACGAAAAATTTGGAGAGCCCAGCCACTGGGATTCCTTTCAAGAACATTGTTAAAAATTTGGAATATCCCGCCACAAGTTTTCGCAAAAGTTAAAATTTTGGACCGTTAGCGGCGAAAATTTCGGAGATCCAGGACTCCCGGTAAAACAAATAATTTCGAACGCCCGGCCACTAGGATTCCCATCAAGAACATCGTTAAAAATTTCGATTTTCCCGCCAACAGTGCTCTCCAAAATTTCGGGGAGCCACGACCCGGTAAAACAAAACATTTTGCACGGCAAGCGCCCGCTTGCGCTTTAACTGGTTTCCGCCTACATTGAATGCGCAACATTTAACTTCTTGGAGACCAAACCACGAAAATTAAAAAACTCCGCCATTGTGAGAAAGATTCTACGAGGTCGAGAGCGAAAAAGAGAATTTCAAAAAGGACCACGATCGAGTGTCGTCGTTGAGCGTCGTCGTAGCTTAGAGAGCAAATATGCATGTACAAACAGAGAGAGAGAATTAAAACAGCATCGAGCATCGTCGTAGAGGCTTCGAGAACGTCGTTGTAATGTAGATCGTCGCTGCTAACCTTACTTAATAAAGTGTTGTACTTTTGAAGTCGACATTTGTCTAATAAAATTTTAGGATTTCGATTTAATGTGTTAGAATGTGGATATTTTTTTATCTAAAAAAGACATTCTACGTACAAAGGACTCTTTTGGAAATTTTCCTTTAGTGTTTAACAACGTTGTGCCTATTAAGGATAAATAATAGATTGTACTTTTCAAAATAAAGGAAACGAAATCACACTAGGAAGAGTTCGGATGTTGTTCAATGATTAATGTGAGTTTAGATCCTTGTAGTCTTGCTAAAGAAAATTTCTTCCACGAGACTGAATTGTTGCCTAACGGAAAACACACACCATTGAAGGATTGTCTTTCTTATTTCGTCGTCTTCCTTGGCTGGAGCTAGGGATACAGAGCGATATCTGTAAACCTGCATGAATTGGGTTATTTATGTCATTTGCATATATTGATGTAGGCATGTATCCTTTGTCTTCTTTCCACCGTCTTACTCTTCAGCCCAAGTTACAGATATAGCCCTATAACCTTAGATTCAGGCAAGGACGACAACAAAATGAGAAATATAGTGCTTCAGGGGCCGAAAATTAATTTGGTTTCTAAGGACCAAAACGTCTGATGGATTGTCTTTCTCATTTCCTCCTCTACCTTGCGTGGATGTTTGGATATAAAATTTTATTAATAAGTTGTCCGATTTCTTTTGATTATGTCATTTTCGTAGATTGATAAAGACAYGTATCCTCTATCTTCTTTCCATGTTCTTCCTCCTCAKACAAGGTCACATATTTAGCCCTGCAATTTGTATTCAGACAACAATGATAGTGAAATGGAAAAATTTATCTCCATGTTCTTCCTCCTCGGCCAAAATTGTAGATATARCCCTATAAATTGGATTTAGACAAGAATGGCAACGAAATGGAAAAAACAGTCATTTAAAGGTCGGAGAAGAACATGTATTGTTCGAGATGGAATTTCTGTCTAAGGACAAACACACTTGAATGACTTGTCTTTCTCATTTCGTCTTGTTACTTACAGGAATCCTGCGTCTTCTTTGCATCGTTTTCCTCCYTAGCCAAGGTTACAGACATAGCCCTATATTYGTGGCTTCAGGCAAGAACAAAAACAAAATTGGAGAAACAGTCCTTTAAGGGTCGAAAAAGAACATATCTTGTTYGAGATTGGATTTTTCTCTAAGAACAAAACCGCTTGAAGGGTTGTCTTACTCATTTCGTCCGCTTTCTTGCCTGGATGGGGAGATGTGTTTGTAACTTGCCTGAATCATATATCTTTTATTTAATTCGTTTTCGTAGAGSGATGTTTTGGTTGTCTGCTCGGTGTCCTTGCCATCTTCTTCCTCCTCATGGGAAGGTTACAGAATTAGACCAGTAACCTTGGATTGAGCCAAGGACGATAACGAAGCGGAAGATGCAGTCTTTAAAGTGTCGGAGAAGTACACTTCTTGAACSGGACTGTTATGTTGTACAGTCATTTTCCTCGAATGCATGTGAGGGTACATAACTAAATCTTTAACCCAGCCTGATTTGCTTTTTTTATTTCATTTGCGTGAAGGGATGTAGGCCTGTATCGTTGGTGTCCTACTATCTTCTTCCTCCTCCTCACACATACACGCTCAACCTTGTCATCTTCCTCTGGCTCCTCCATGCCTCCTCTTGCTCCTTGTCATGTTCTTCCTTCCTCCTCCTCATAAATTTACACACAACCTTGCCATGCCATCTTCTTCCTCCTCCTCTTCTTCTCTCCTTCCCCTACTACTCCAGCTCCTTACCATCTTGAAGTTCCTCCTCCTGCCATCTTCTCCTCCTCCTGCTACTTGCCTTTTTGTTCTTCCTGCCATCTTCTCCTCCTTCCCAGATTCCTCACGCCTTCTCCCTCTTTTTCGTCCCGCGTTTCATCCCATCTTCGACCCCGCCTTCTTCCCCCTGAGGTTCTTCCCCGAATCCCCCGCCCCTCGCCTTCCCCTGTCCCTTCCCCCGTTTCTTCCCCCCCACGTCCCCCCCGCGTTCCTCCGATTCCGTCATGCCCCCTCTTGCTCCTTGCCATGTTCTTCCTTCCTATTCCTCACACATTTACACACAACCTTGCCATGTCATCTTCTTCCTCTTCCTTTTCCCCTCTCTTTCCCCTACTACTCCAGCTCCTTACCATCTTGAAGTTCCTCCTCCTGCCATCTTTTCCYCCTCCTCCTACTTGCCATCTTGTTCTTCCTGTCATTTTCTCCTCCTTCGCACATTCCCCACGCCTTCTCCCTCCCTTCCGTCCCACATTTTATCCCATCTTCGTCCCTGGCTTCTTCCCCCTAGGGCTCTTCTTCCCCGAATCCCCC